AGTTGTTAGTCTATTTATTAGTATAATATTATTAAAATATCAAGTGTACCACGTAACAAAAGAATAAGTTTCTTTATGTTCGAAATATTCAAGAATAAAGACGGGGTAAAAATAACAGAGCAGTATTCATGTAAATATCACTTGGCCAGGAAATGAGGTCTAAGCATGTCCCGTTTTTGGGACACGCGGCACGGAACGTGTTAAGCAATACTGAAAATTGTAAGTTGCTGTATGTATGAAGCTCTCATATGGGAACAGTCGTGAAGTACAGTAAATAACATTGTTTATTAATATTTTCTTATTTATTTCATTACTACACTAACATTTTAATAGAATAACAGTCACATTTATTTTTTTAACTCCTCATAAAAATTCATGCAATAAAGAGTTAATGTAATTTGATACATATTTCGTCAGTTGACTTTAAAATGTTAGAAGAAATTTATTTGCTATGTCTAAAACAGTTTTTTCAATATTTAATATAATTTAAATGGGACAGTCAGTATACCACATTTAGATTACTTTTTCCTTTTAACTTGTTTATTTAAAAAAATATTCATTTATGCTTCAATAAATTGTAGATTGCAGATTGCAGATCAATAACGATATTTATAATAAAAATAAATTCTATCATTCTGTTTGGTGCTGCGAGAACACTCTAATTGGACTTCTTTCATTTCAATCCTTTTCATTGCCGACCTGCAAAAGATGTTTTGCTTGACGGATTTCGATTTTAATTTAAATTTATCATCGTGAGAGAATATTCTGTAGATTTTAATAAATTGATACGGTCGACACTATGCACAGCCAACATTTAAGACATAGAACTGCATGTACGTAATTCTTGATTAATTAATAGAATATTAAGTAATTAATTTTTTATCATTTTAATAATTACTGATATATTCTAAATATTTCAATAATTACTTCTTCAAAATCAAACTGTACACGGTAAAATATAAAAATAAGAACATCGCAATATTTCCGTTGTTTGTCATAACACGCATTAAAATTTATTACAGAAAAAAATATACGAAAAGAAAAGTTTAAAACAGAATTAAATTATTCGAAAATCCAGAACATATTTTTCATTTTCATTTTATGATCTCCTGAATAATATCTATACGCAATAAAAATATTTAAACATTCTTTGTTTACATTGGGTTGATGCAACACTTTTGACGTTTTTCTGTAAGATATAAAACGATGAATAATAACCACGTGTAAAAAGCGTCAAAACTTTTGCATCAGCCCAATATACTAATATACTTTGTATAAGGGAAATGGTTTTCAGTAAGAGGATAACCGATTCGACATATCAACTAAATAATATTTGAACTATTATTAGCACCTGGTGATTACCATAAAATTGGTATATTCGCTATTGGTAATGTAAGCGGTACATGAGCTAATTATTTGTTCACCTGCGCCGACCTCGGAATCATTCTTCCAATGAATAGTCAAGAGATAAACCGATTGACCAGTTAATATGATCAATTCAGATTATTCATCCAGCCAGGTATCGACGCGCCCAACGCAAAGTGGAATAATGCAGAGTCTAAAATCGTAAGCGCCATTGTGTCTGACCTAGAGCAGACACATACTCAGGTATGTAAATTGCGCGCCTCGACACGTGCCATTAATGGCTGATTGCCTCCCTTTCTCTTCCACCCTTTCGTGCAAATAGCAAGCTGAAGCTTTCGACGAAAAAATCGACGCATCCACGAAAGCTTTAAAATGCGCGCTGGTCTAGCTATCGTAAATAAAATGAAAAACGCTTGTATCCTATTTTTACTCCCAAGGGTTTTGTCCGCGCAATAATCACAGGAGTCGTTAAATATTAACGGGTAACATTAATTATCTTAATTATTAATATTTTAAGCATGTATCCTCCTTTTTGCGTTTAATGGGGAAAAATTTACTTTCCTTAATGAAAACATTAAAATGCTTCTCATTGCTTCCATTGATTTTCGATTTAAATTGTACAATTATTAAAATACTCGGGTAATGTAATGACTATGTCCTTAATGCAAAATAAATTTTTCATCTGGCAATTTTCATCGAGATAATTAATTTCTCCTGCTAATTGTAATGTTTTTATAATATACCCTGTGAAAAAGGTTTCAATACATTTTGTAATAACCGTTGGTAACGATTAAAAAGATTGTAAAGCAATTTGAATGATGTAATACAATGAATGAAAATGGGCCATTAAAAATGATACGATTTCCAATCCTATATATCTGAACATTCAACTATCACCGTTTCGCTGCGAATGTCACTGTAGGCGTTACTGAAATTACGTTCGTGCAGCGCGAACATTTCTTTCGCATTTAATTAGCTAACTTCATTCCATCAAACTAATTTATCTTCACACATGAAAATTCAAAATAGAAATGAAGATAAATTATGATTTACGATCGTATCTGCTATAATAAGTCATTTGCATATCACCACCACCTTTGTTACTGTATAGTCCGCAGTTCTCGCGGAAGGACTGACATTCTCGCAATACATTTATTCAAACTTTATCAGTACGCTCTTCTTGACAATATAATTTTCAATGTAATTTTTAACGTAATTAATTCGGCACGACAAGCATAATTTATTACTGCTTCTTAATTATTCACGAGTTCAAAATTTCTGTCTTCTTATATTATACGTCCAATATTCCATGAACAAAATTTGAAACGAAATAAATTTCTACAGTAGATTAACACTAAAACTAACAGACGGAACAAAATGAGCCATTTCTAATTTCTTCTTTTTGCAATTATTAAAAAGATAACAAATGTTTCTCTAAGGAACTATTAAAGAAATTGATTTAGCAATACGCAAACTGAATTGCAAATCACTTAAAGCTAAAGCGTCAATAGCTGCTCTTTTAGAGTTTCTATAGGGGATTTTCAAAAAGTCAATTTTAAGTGCTCGGTAGTTTTAGTGTTAAGAAATTTGTTGAAAATTTTCATTCAACATAATTCCCTTATGTGTCCACTTATAATTATACAATAAAAGTTGTCACTAATAACTACATGTAATTCATGCGATATTAAAGTTGTAACGAATTTTTATAATCAAAATATCGCTTGAAACATTACGTTTTCAATGATATTAACTTAATTTTTCTTACACAATTATTTACAATTACGAGTTTCGTATTTCTGTTACACGTTCGAGTACCACGTTAAGCATTTCAAATTCGAAATAATAATATCTACAATCAACCGCATTTTCAGAAAAAATTATATTAACTGAATTTCCTCATATTTATTAAAAACATCAAACATAGAAATATACAGAGTGGACTTTGAAGCGCGATCAGCTTAGATTATTTTACTACTAGCGGTTCGATCGGAAACTTTGTTAGCTAAAATAACATGGTTCAAGGAGAGCTTTAAGATGATTATGCCAAATTTTTGCCAGCCCTTTTTTTCTGAGCTATTAAGGTCACCTTCAGTACACGTAGATCACGAAACACTACTAACACTTCATGTTCGATATCATTAAATTTGTTCCAAGGTACAAAACGAAATGTTTACAAACAGTCTGCAAGGGATCAAGTAAATGACTAAGAATAATCTGTCAATAACTCTATAAAGTGTACTACAACGTGGCTTGCTATTCCTCTTTAATAAACTTTAAGAATCTTGCAAACTTCTTCTAAGTAAGAGATGTTTTCAGTCTTCTTACATTCAGAAAAAAATATTTGTTATGATGCTTGTCAAAATCCCCCAAAAGATGAATGTAAAAAAATGATAGATGTACTTATAAAAAAAACTGAAGGTGACATTGATAACTTTGGATAAAGAAGGATTAACAAAAAACTTTGGTAGAATCATCTTAACCCCTTCCCCTATAATAATGTGCCAGACTCGTGGTGAAGATTTTAAACAGTATCTCACAAACATAAATATCACTCAATTCCTGCGAATTCAAGTGGAATATTATTCTTCTATTATTAATTATTATACGTTAAAGGAAATATCTTCTTTTTCGATGAATTAATAATAAGAAAGTAGTTGCATCGATCACATTAGAGAAAAACCACTAGCAGAATAATCTAAGCTGATCACGCTTCGTAATCCACTCTGCATATTGCAATACAAAATCAACGAGCAAAATATCAATTGCACTAATCACACTCTCATCAGACATCGATCATTCCGAGCAACACGGAATTTCAAAAAACACTAATTGAAGCATCAATCACACATCTTCCTCTCTCAAACAAAAACACAACCACGGAAAAAGGTGCGATCCGAAAAAGCGGCATTACGTTCCGGGGTTGTAGCATGCAGCGTCACAAATAACAGCGAATAGAAAAAAACAGGAACACCACGAGCGGAAGGAATCCGAGGGAAGGTTACACGCGACGCGGTGCTCATTTCTTCAATTGTACCATTTTTAACACTAGGTTTACGAACATTTATTATAAAGTTTATTTTATTGGTCTTAGAAAACTTCATATTAATTAATTTCCATTTTCGAACTGAAAGGTTTGAAGATTAGACAATTAAAATACACATTTGACTTATTGAATCAATAAAAATCGACATAAGCATTTACTAAATAGTATTTGCAACATTTTATATGCGTCAAATTGACGCGTTCCGTAAACCTAGTGTTAACAGTAATGTTTCGCGCGGAGGGCTGTACAGTGGAATGTAATATAAAAGAAATGTCGAACTATCCAGTTCGCAATTCGTCGTAATTCTCAACGATTCATCGATATGCACACGTGCCCGGGCGATTAGAAGAGACAGCAGACTGCGATGGCTCATAATTTGTAATTTTTCGTGCACAGGAATCTCACGCGCGAGCGTTCCCAGGCAGCAGCGTGTCGGACCAAGCGCACGCTACTTTCCCTGATAGATTTACGCGCAGTCCAACCGCAGGCAGGGATTTCCGTCTTTGCGACCGCGGGAAACGTGCTTGGCCGTTGGACGATCGGACCCGATATCTCGAATACTTGAGCCCATCAAAGGGAGCCGAGCACTCACCATTACGTCGAGGATGCGACGTCCCTCATGCTTCGACGTCCGATAAAAGCACACTTTTCCAGCCGGACGGCATCCTCGCCACGCTCGCGACAGCCTGCACTTTGCACCAATTCATACTCGACGCACTTTCACGAATTGCCTCCTTATTCCCGTGCAGAATCTCGAAGAACCGAACCGCAGCTCCGTTGAAAAGGGCTCACGACGCCACTCCGGGACACAGGATTTCTTTGCACACACTTGGCTGACCACTCGTCGGCGAACGAGATTACGCGAATCCACGCAACGAGAGGAAACGAACAGCACTACTCTTCACTCTTTCTTCATTTGCCACCGATTGCCCGAATCGGTCACTTCAACATTCCGCACCTTGCAACGGTGAGATCGTTAACCACGAGACGACGACACTGATGGAGATAGGGGTTCGCGCGACACGCGTTGCCGTTTGGTTTCCGGCTACATGATCCCGGAAGAGGAACTCGCGAGATAGGGTATCCGGTGAGACGGTCTACCAGTTGGCCGGGGACATTTGCATCGGCACGAAATTCCGAGAAGCAAGCGAACGTTACTATTCCGCGGACGTGACGGAGTCACGCGAAAAAGGGGTTGCCGAAGCCGACGGGGTGCGACGCGCACGACTCTCCAGCGGCAGTTGACGCGGCACTAGAGAAAAGCGGAACCCGCTTGCCGCCACCGGACGCCGGATAACGGACGCCTGCGCCCTAGACCGCCGCTTCCACGAGCCACGAGACATCAGCCACGAGATTTCGTGCGATCCGCCTGGCGCGCCAGTTCATCCCGAGACCACTGCGTGGCTAGGTGTGCAGTTGCTCCGAAGATATTCGCACAGTACTGCCGAAATACAAAGCTGACCAAAATTCAATTTTTTAAATATGCAACAGATTTTCTGATGCAGTGGATCTATTGTATACACATCGGTGCAACTAATGGCTCTGAAGACTTTTAAATGTACCGAGTGGTTATTGACAAAGATATCGAACCTGGACATTGTAGAATTATGGAACTTTGCCTAGAAGAGTAAGTTAAGGCTGATACATTACAATTTTTTATGCCGAATTTCACTTTGCAAGAGTGAAACTAGATTTTTATTCTACGTGGATTATTTTAAAAACGATAAAAAATGAAAAAGTTTCAACAAAAATACATTGTTCTTTTAGGTCTATAAAATTGCAAAATAAAATTTTGGAAACTTCCGATTTTGAAAATTTTATTCCACAGTTTTATAGACGTGAAAGAACAGTGTATTTTTTGTTGAATCTTTTTTCCACTGTATCTTACCGTTTTCAAGATGATCCAAGGGAACGAAAAATTTTCATTCTGTTTAAAGGGTGATTTCATCCTTCCAAAGTGAAATTTGGCGCAACAAAACAAATTGTAATGTATTAGGTTTGACTTACTCTACATACGTACAAAATCTCATAATTTTCTGAATTTCCGGATTCGGTACCTTTCCTTGTGAGATATAGATCGTCAAGTTTGACGAAATATCAAGTATCTTAATCTCTCGAAAATTATATGCCCTTTAATGCGCCAGACAATATTTCTCTTAACAAATGATTTAAAGTATTTGACTATTAACCATTTGCACTTGTAAGTAATGCAAAATATTAATAAGCAATACTTAAAAACAATTAATATAATGTGCACACGCAAATATGGAATCCATGATAACGAAATATAAATCCGGTATGTAAATTGTAAAACATGGAATAGGAGTTCCAACACAATGTGCAAGTTCATATATCAAACACAAGTTTAAATGCGAAAGAGAAGTCCGTATATCAGACACAAGACCGGATATTGAAATGAATTTAAGGTCAAGAGTTCAAATTCAAGTTGTATACAGTTCGAAATGTCAAATAAATCAATTGAAAATTCAATCTGCGATATGAAGTTTTCGATTCTTCTTCTAAAGCTTTATTTACAAGACTATACAATTAAACGGTATCATGAAAAGTAGAACGGAAAATCGTTATTGTTTCTATAAGCAAGACATACAAACTGCATATATATTCTGTTAGTGCTCTGCAGGAGTCCTTCGCTTCGAAATAAACAACCTCATAAATCAAGAACAGTCTTTATTGTGTCTGAGGTTTCACGATACGTTAATTGTCGTTCAGAATGAAATAACAAAAGATGCTCTAAAAAAATTCAAATGTATTCATTATTCCTTGGATCGACATTGTAAACACACATTGATCCACTGTTCAATATAAAAAGGACATAAAATTGAAAACAATTTAAAAAATAAGATTCGACGTTTCAATAAAAGGTTACTAATGGATTCCGATGAACAAAGGACTTTATAGGAAATAAAGATAAGTCCTAAATTTAGTTACCAGAAAATCATTGCTGGAGAATGAAGTAATAAAAAGAGTAATAATAAAATTACTGATAAAAAGTTCGTTGTATTTTAAAAATAAACGCATATAATGAAAAAATCGCCGGAAGGAATAATTTTCCGATGCTAGCACATAAATGAAAACGTTCTCACTTTGCAAATAAATGCGTTGAATGCACATACGAATTTTGAAAACGCGTAAATTTCATCGACGAGTGTAGACTCATTGTCTTTCAATTGAATTTAATGGCATAAAACTTTAATTCTGTGACGGAAGTCATACGTAAAAGTTTTAAAAACGAATTTTCCGGTTACGATTCAATATAGAAATGGGCGTATTATAGTCTGAGAGTATTTTTTCCCACTTGGTGTGCATAGTTTAGATATATGTTACCTACCATTGTTATTGTGAATAAACAAAAGTATATAAATATTTCGGAAAAGATTTTTAGGCAACAACCTGAAAACAATATAGCTGCAGCCTTTTTCATCAACATTGACGGAATTTAACAGATTTTATTAAAAATTGTATTTTATAAAAGCAAAAAAGGTGTTTAATGAATTGCAAATATCATTGATTCAAGACTTTCTGAATAACCAAAAAACAATAAAAAATATTATTTGCAAATAAAAGGAGCATAATGTACATTACTGCTTCAATATTACTAAGAAAGGTAACTTTTAACGTAACGTCTACCAATATAAGTGGAAATTCAAATCTAAAATACAAGTTTTCCCCGCAGAGAACGAAACTTACAGAAACGAAACTTATAGACATCAGCAGCTCTAATATTCGTGTTTCCAAATTGAGTTTGAAACATTACTTCGAGCCCGCATTGTCTCCATCATATGTTCCTGTCTAGAAATGAATGCAGTGAATGAGACATAATAATGTATTGCTACATCATTTTCAATGAAGAAAAGTTAAAAAATTGCAAAACTTAATATTAACCTTTTATGGGTACATGTGTAGGATCAGAAACATGAGTTCTTATTGACCTATGGACGAATATATATGCACAAAAAAATTTATTTATATTTACGTTGATTTTAAGTAAATCATATAACCACGTTGGAAAAGTGCATTTCAATATTTATTGAAAAAAGTGACTAATACTTAAATTTGATAAATTCAGTTTAAAACTGTTATCACGAGTTTGACACAATATTATAGTATAATACTATAATAATGTAATATATTATAAATAGACTATAATAATATAGCATATTATAATATAAATAACATATTATAGCATAAATATAACAAATATACTATAATATAGTAAATTATAGTATAAACATACTGAATGATTGTGCATCAACCCTTTGCCCTATAATATCGTGTCAGATTCGCGATGACAATTTTAAACTGAATTTATCAAATCTAAATGTTAGTTACTTTTATCCAATAAAAATTAAATATTAGATTCCTATCACCAATCGTTAACCTTTGGAATAAACATAGATATAAAAGAAGCATCAAATTCCCTTCTCTTCTAATAAGTTATTCATGATAAAGTAGTTTTATCAAGCGCGGTTATGAATGAAATCACAGGGCAAAGGGTTAAGCCGATCCGTATCGAAGGGATTAATGACAAAAGATATTAAACCGGAAGCACTGGGTTATAACAAACACTATGTTCTATATGTTTTACTCGCACGCACGAATAACCGTACAGTACTGTCTTTCTTATTGTACAGAACGTTTCAAAATTACCCAACAACCTCAAAATTAAATATATGTTTGTTATTCAAATAAACTGTCAAAATACTAATTGTTTTAACTTAATTTAAAAAAAAGAAGCAAATATTTTAATATATAAGATACATTTTTCTCAATGAACAAAAGTTCAATTGAAAATGAATTATTGAAATAACTTAGAATTACAATTTTGCAATTATAGTTTGAATGTTGAGAACAAATATGTAAATATGATACTGTTAATTGTGATAGATTGGAAAAATTATTCCCTTGCGAATCCTTTAAATTATTCGAAACCTTCAGCAGAGGAAGTCAAATTATACATTGGACTCCTAAATACAAAAGAAAAAGAGTTACATCCTAATCTTTTGTTATTTGAATAATTAAATTGTTTGCTTGCTACTTCATATTTTAGATACCGAAGTTTTGATGTCGACGAAACGTCGGCATTTGTCCTCGAAAGGTTAACAGAGCTATTATTTCATCCCTTACAGTTTTAGAAACCTGACCATATATTTTCCAAAATTTTTCTATATATTTTATATATTTCATGAAATAGCTGTATATATCTACGATGCACCTAAAACCTTTATACCACGCATATATACTATGTATATCTAATAGATACATAGGTAGAATCATCAAACGTCCTAACGTTATGAGAAATGATATCCTTATGGATAGAAACCACTAAATCTGGTTTTTCCTCGCACAGGCCTACTGCATTCATCTTCTTCATGTGTTGAGACGGTAATGTGCTAAAGTTAGCGCGAAATTACCTGGTCGGTCAAGGTCACCGAGAAATAAATCCCACTTCACAGGATACACTTGGAAGACCTGCAGCGAAATATATGCGAAAGTTATTCTGAACTCTGATTGGATAATTTAAATATCGCCCCGCATTAATCATTCTCTAACTAGACTTTAATTTAGTTCATTAGACAGAAATTCCTGGATTAATGATATTCACTGATGAATTTTTTACTTTCAAAGTAAACTTGGTTTTAATTTTTATTTTTGTATAACACAATTTCTGATTGAAGAAGTAGATTAGAATAACAACGAAAAATAGCAGAGAAAAGGGGATAAAGTAAGAAAACCACTGGGAAAAAACTGGTAAAAGTATATTCCAGATAAATTTATACTTTAATACTACATTTTCAATAAGGCTATTTAAAAATGCAGAAAATATCGATTTATTTTAACGAATGTCAGTCGTAAGTAATAATTAAATTTATTATTTCTTTTTTTCAAGGTGTATAAAGAAATCATCGACAAGATAATGTCGTCATTTCGTAGCCATTTACTTTAAACAGAACCATTTCTTGAAATTATTCATCAGCAAAGAATGTTTAGAATCATTCAATGTAGTTTTAGAAGAAAATAATAATTCTATTGGCGTGGAAAATCGTAAAAAGGTGCCATTTTTAAAAAGAGCATTTTTCGTCGTTGTATAATTATGTAACATAAACAAATGAGTCCTTCAGTCTTACAAAAAATTAATATTGATATTAGTTTATAAAGAGACGATTAAGAGTTAAAGGTAAATACTAATATTAAACAAGAAATTGTAGTATCAGTGAAGTAA